TCAGTGCAATTTCAAAACGTTTGATCCTTCTATCTTTTTTCCTACATCAAGACACCCAAAATAGCGTCTCATAAATGTCTAGACTTCACAAACCTATGCAACTGCGGGATGGTTTTTCCGAAAGGCACTAATCCTGGCTACTGATGCATGACAGAGCTGGGAACGGAACATTTGTCTCGACTCCGCGGCCCAGACACACGCAGGAGATAAAGTCGGAGTGAAACTGGACACTGGCATGGAAAAAGAAGACGTGGGGTGCAACACCGGAGCCGTTTGTTCAGTAGAAGAAAACAAAACTGTGTGCTTCGACGGCAAAGTCTGCAAGCCTGTGCTGTAATGTGGAAAAACACTTGCTGCTCAACAAAATGTGTTATTGTAAAACTGTAATCTAGAGAGAAAGCCTTGTCTTTTATCATATCGTTGGTTCTTGGGAACTAAGCTAATATATTCATTTGGCTAATAGGGTGATTAAAATGCTGCACTGCCTTCTTCTGCTTCCTGTCCTTATCTCTGACTCGATCTTTACAATGAAGTAAAGTGTGGGTTGCTCTAATAATACTGAACAAGTGGGTGATTAAGGGCTCTAATTATCCTACAGCAGAAGAAAGAGTACTTCAAATGTAATCGTTTAGCGTTCATCATGTTGGAATATGAAATGCTCTGCTGCAGAATACATCCAGCTCCATTCTTCATTCGGTCCTACCCCCTGATGTCATCCTATAACGAGTTTACGGGACAGTTTCCTCCCACAGGCCATTAGACTGTTAAACACCTGAACTTTTGAAAGAACATCCATAACATTCATCTGTTTGCAACTTATATCAATATTCCAATTACTTGTATATATTGACTGATACCTGATAACTGATGATATATCATATATATATATCTGATAACTGAGCCTCAAAAGTTGAACATTGCTCAACTTTTGATGCTCACGATGCTTGCAAAGCCATGCTCCGCTCCCCACAATGCAGTTCGGCGAAGATTAAAAATCTTCTACGTCACCCCATTCAACTGAATGGGCGAAGCGTTGAAAGCATTTTTTGATGCCTGTAGTGTAGACGTACCGTTAGAGCACTCCTGCATTTAACTTGCAACATTATGACACTTTTACTGTTGTATTGCACAATAGTATTTATTTTTGATGTATATTGCTATTCTATTTGTTTGTATTTACTTGCACTATTCTATCTGATTTATTGTTGTTGCTCTGTCCGAGGAGCCTGTGACCTAAGATGTTCATTGTCATAACTACACTGTAGCTATGAACACATGACAAGCCTTGATGCAGCGTGGTTGATCCAGTGTTTACCTGCTGACCCAGTGGGCCGGGATGCCATGCAGCGCGAACAGAGTGAACTGAAGGTGGTCTGTGGTGCCGGAAGCTTCTTTGCTGCTTATCCCCTCCATGCCTTCTCCATCTGCAGCCTGGGGCAGCGGGGGGGAGTTGAAGGAGGTGGACGGGGGGCAGAAGGAGCGCAGGTAGAGTTTGGCCAGATCGTACACAGCTTGAGTCAGTGAGGCCATGCCCTCCTCCACAGGACTGCTGTGGCCTGAGAGAGCAGAACACAGTCATTAGAATACATACGTGGTACAACGACGCCCACACTGCCAAAAGGAAAAAGCGCTTTCCTTGAGCGGATGAAAAAGTTTGTCGAATGGCTCAAGAACGCAGAGGAGGAAGAGTCCCAGTCAGAGGAAGAGGAGACAGACCTCCGGCTAAAACTACCATCTTGATTTGTATTTTTATATTATCATAGCACCAGATGCAGTAGAGGGACTTATTGCAGAAGACTGTCTGTATTTCTCTATACTAAAACTGGAATATGGAATACTGGTTTTGTTCAAAGCTGCTTTTGAGGTTTGTTGTATACATTTCTAACAAAAGCAAAACCAAAATAAATCCTCACTCCAAATTCTTAAATTGAACTAGGATTTTCCAGATTTCAGACAATCTGTTGCTTATTAAATCTACTTTCTCTTATGAATGTAACTTATTATTAATTCGCGTGTGCCTCCATTTGTGTGTGACTAGCGACAGAGGAAACCATCTTTTTGAGCCTAGTCGAAATGTTGCTTTTAAAAAGACTAAATGCTAACAAATATGAATTAAAGCAGTTTCTTCAAAGCATATTTTGTCAGATAAAACATGTGACACATTTTGGAAATTACACTCTAGTTATTGGAAATATTGGGATCAAACAAACAATCCTATGCCGCCACCAATGATATTAAATTCTGCAAATAGTATCAGAAAATGAATGTAGCCTGATCTTATCTGAATCTGTCCGGAAACTGGGATACACAGAATGATTACACAAACAAATAGATACAAATTAAACAAGCATTATGAAGGATGCTATGAAGCTTTGAATGATTAATACCGTAATAGAATCAGCCACATAGTCTTTAAATAGCCTTAGACACTTGACACTGACTTTATTTAAAAGTTATTTCTGTCTGTAATGTATCTTTGCACCACATTGACATGATAAGCTGCAACAATCACATTTAAATGAAACAAGTGGAGGTGGAGTGTGACTGTGTGTGTGTGTGTACGTACCATTTGACGATTGACCAGACGATGTGGATCCCATCTGCAAAGCAAAACAAGTTGATCTTACAAACACTTCCTCACATGTAAACAAGGCTCTGTATGAGTGTGTGAAGCAGAGTGTTAGCCCACCTTGGGGGAGCGTGTCTGGGGTAAGTTGACGGAGTGTTTCAGCCTTTTGACGGCCTCAGTGATGGCCTGGGTCTCCGTCTCGTCCAGAGCACAGCACAGGTTCTTCAGAGTCTGCACCACCCGCTCCACCGACTTGTACTGGGTGCTCTGAATATAGAGATACACGTTGGTCAGAGGTGGGAAGTAGTGGAGTACAAATACCTCGTTGCTGTACTTAAGTACATTCCACTACTTATTTTTCGGATCACTTTCTACTTCTACTTCTTACATTTTAGTTTGAATGTGTGTTTGGTGGCGTGATCATTATTATTTAGAGTCATTGCGTGCCTATTGATTTGAACACGATCCGTGTATCCATCATTTCCTGGTCTTCTCTAAAGAAGAGGGACCAATGAAAACGTTGTCATGTTGCCGTTGGTCACCATGGAAACATTCATTAGCTAACAATGACATTATTGTTCTGTTAATATAAAGGGAGGTCAGGTACTCTTTAGAACAGATGGTAGTTATGGTTACTTAAGTACATTTCAAAGCCCATACTTCTTTACTTTGACTTGAGTAAAGAAGTTTAGTCAGAACTTCTACTTTTACCAGAGTATTTTTCAACACGAGTATCAGTACTTCTACTTGAGTAAACGATGTGTGTATGTATGTGAGTAAAGGATGTGTGTATGTATGTGAGTAAAGGATGGAGGGGTGTGGCGCAGTGGACTAGTGTGTTGGTGTTGGGATCAGGGGGACACAGGTTCAAACCCCACTGCAGTCAGCATGTCGTTGTGTCCCTGAGACACTTCACCCCAAATTGCTCCTGTGGGGATCGCCCACAGTATTGAGTATGTAAGTCGCTTTGGATAAAAGCGT